AATGCCATCTAGGTTCTCAAGTCAGTTCATAATCTCCAAGATAACTCCAAAAGAAAGCCCTATACATGAGTTGTCTTCTAAACATTTCAAACTGTCCCCAGCACTATCTCCTTTTTTAGTCCACACAGGGAGGCCTTAAGTCCCTGGTTAACACCAGCTACTGCCCTCAAGGTACCCAATGAATGGCCTCTGGATGCTGCAAGAGACTGAAGAGAGACTATGACCTGCCATCACCCCATGGCCTCTAGTGAGTACTGATGGTAGCCCTTGACTTCTAAGCATCTTTCTCCATCTATCTGGGGCTTCCTGGAGACTGTGGATATTTGTAGTGATTAATTAGTATCCTAGCATTCCTGAGTGCCAGGCAAACACTACATACGGCATGCTCCGACCCTCTGTTATCTCTGAGGGCCTCACTAATCCCTTTCTGGATTCCCCAGAATCTCAGTGCTGAAGGGACCACCCAGTTCTGTCAGACTCCGGAATGTGTCCCAGTGGTCATGCCCTCTGGTCAACCCAGAGCTCCTCCCAACCCTGTCTTATTCCTCCCTTCTGATTTTTCTGGGTATGCAGGCATGCCTGTGTGCATGTGCTTGTGTGTGTGCACGCACACGGGTGAGCGTTCCCTCACACACAGGACGTGCACCCATGCACTCACATGGGTGACATTGCGTGTCCTCCTCTAATGATGCCTTAGTCTCTTGAGAAAGTCTCTCACTGATCTTTGAGCTGGGCTGGAAGCAAACCCCAGTGACTCTCAGGTCTCTACCCGCTACAGTGTATAGTACTAGTGCTAGGACCATAGCCTGCACAGCCACACTGGGCTCTTTTTGTTTGCTTGTTTGTTTTTTCAGACAGAATTTATCTCTGTAGCCCTGGCTGCCCTGCAACTCCCTTTGTAGACCAGGCTGGCCTCAAACTCACAGAGATCTAACTGCCTCTGCCTCCAGAGTGTTGGTATTAAAGGTGTACACCATCCCTGCCTGGCTAGCTTTTTTTTTTTTTTTTTTTTTTTTTTTGCTTTTTCGAGACACGTTTCTCTGTGGCTTTAGAGGCTGTCCTAGAACTAGCTCTTGTAGACCAGGCTGGTCTCAAACTCACAGAGATCCACCTGCCTCTGCCCTCCCAAGTGCTGGGATTCAAGGTGTGCGCCACCACCACCTGACCTTTTTTTTTTTTTAAGTGTGGATGCTTGGGATTTGAACTCAGGTCCCCACGCCTGCATAGCAACCGTTCTTGCCCACCAAGCCATCTCCCAGCCCATCCCTTCTCTTTTTCAAACTGCTGTTGTTTCTCTTAGTGACTTCACCCCTCCCCAGAAGACAGTTATACAAGTAAATGTGGGAGGCAGAAAAGAGACATGTCAACGATGACTAAGTCTGCCGAGCTCCCTCGCCACTTTCAAGAGCGTCAGAATTGGCTCTCACTCGCCCCAGCCTCTATAGAAACCCTTTGCTGAGGGGGTGATTTTTCCTGAAGATCATTCTTTCTTTATGACCAAACTCTGGGGTGTGCCACCAGAATACATCTTTCCTGCTGCCAGAACCCATGCTCATGTCACACACTCATGGTCACTGTAAGGGGACTTCCCCTAATGAAGAGCCAACTGGTATTTCCTGGAAACTCTGTCTCCAGTCAGAGCCCATCAATCACCTTTGGTTTTCTCTCCCTTGCTATTGCTTTAGTTTCAAAAAAAAAAAAAAGGAGGGGGCGGGGTTCCCTGAAATCCAGTGACCTCAAGAAGAAAGAAAACGCAGCCTCCTACTTGCACCTCTGGTTTTGGCAGTCAGCCTTCTAGGCAGGACCGTAGCCCGCCTCTGAGACAGGCAGGGCAGTGAGTACCTGCCTGCACGTCACAGAGCCTCAGAGTTCTGCAAACCCTGAGAAAGATGAGGAAGTTCACCTTAGGCCTGGGAGGCAGGTCAGGCAGTGAAGTATCTGTCATGTAAGTGTAAGGACCTGAGTTCAGTCCCTAACACTAAGACTCTTGTAAAGAGCCCAGGTCAGTGAGAAACCCTATCTCAAAATACAAGGTGAAGAGAGATTGGGAAATGACAGCCAAAGTTGGCCTCTGTCCTTCATGTGCACAGAGTCATGTGGCCACACACAGCGATACTAACCCCTTTTTACAGAGCTTTCCAAACTGGGTAATCTCGGAACTCAGGCACTGAAACCAGATATTTATCTGGGAGTTACAGGCCAGCATGAACTATCCAGTGAGCTCTGTACCAGCCTGGGTTACAGAGACTTTCGTCTCAAAAACAAACACCTGTTGAGATGGTTCAGCAAGGCAAAGGTGCTTAACTGAGTGTCCTAGGTACCGCCATGAAAAGAGAGAAATAATCCTTAAGAATTGTCCTCTGATCTTCACAAGTTCAGCTACACACACACACACACACACACACACACACACACACACACACAGAAGCACAGGCACACACCCCAGAGACTAATAAGGTGTCAAGCCTCCTTCCCAAGGAATTTACTCATGCAAGCTGAGTAGGATGTTAACTAGAGTTTAGCAGACACACACAACCTTTAAAGAATTCACACTCAAACCCCAGATTTATTTCATATGCATTGTTTTTCAAGACAGCAGACCCTTCGCATAATCTCATCGCAGTGTAGACAAACAGATACAAACTATCCATAATTGACACTTCTATGTCCTGAAGAACCATTAGATGTCGTAAATTTACTGGGAGTATAGCAGACACCTGTGATCGCAACTCCAGAAAAACTGAAGCAGGGGAATCTCCAGTTTGTGGTCTGCCTAGACCACACAGCAAGTTCAAGTCCTTGGACTGCAAAGTGGGACCCTTTCTCAAAAACAAAACAAAAAATGGGGCTGGGGGTGTGGATCAAATGGCCCAGCATGCTCGAAGCTCTGAGTTCAGTATCTAGCATTGTATAAGCAGGGTCCGAGGGCACACATCTTAAACTTCCAGCATTTAGGAAGCTGAAAGATCTTCAGCTACACAGTAAGGTAGCTGGGCTACATGAAATCTGCCTAAAATAAAGTCATAGGTTTGGGTAAAGTGAGGTTCACCAGAGCTTTGAAAGTTACCTACCCACTTTGCAAAGCCAATCTGGACAAACCTAGGCATGTGCAGATGTAATTTAAATATTCAAATCTTTGCCCCCTCCCACCACCATCCTTTGTTGCCATTAAATAAATAAACTATGTTCCTTCCCTTGGGCACATTCACAAGCAACTGGACCAAAACACCTAACACGAACAACCCGTAATTCTCTTGGTCTTTAAGGAAACAAAATTGCTTAAGCTCAGCATCTTTATTAGACTTAAATTCACAAACAGTAAATCAAAATTTTGCATTTTCTAAGCTACATATTTCTTTGGGTGTCCATTTTACTCCTTTAAATACCTTTTAATTCAACAATGTTTTTGAACTCATCAACAGATATTGATCAAATGTCTTCCTGCAAGTCATTCTGTGGCAGCCTGCAGCAGTCACCTTCTTGGGTGGCCTCTGTCTCCAAAGCATTGCTTTTTAGCCTGCCCTCCCTGTTTTCTCTGCACCTTACCTGTGTGATTGGGCAGCATCTGAGTCTCCAACATCATCCTAACATCTTAGAGAATATACACCCCATCCGGAGAATCTTGACTCCAGAGAATAAAGCCTCCCCCTAGGTGCTCATGAAAAGCAACTTTTTGGACCAAGGGGCCCACATGTCAGTCTAGGTGGGGCCTGGGAATAAGCATTACGTCTGGTGCCCCTGCAGTTGACAAAGGAGCACCATTGCTTTGCAGTTGTTAAGGTTTACTTATTCATTGATTCATTCGTTCATTTGTTTGTTGAGACAGGGTCTCACTATGCAGCCCCAGCTGTCCTGTAACTACTGATGTAGACCAGGCTGACTTTGAACTCACAGAGATTGCCCAGCCTCTGCCTCCTGAGTATTGGGACTAAAGGTTGCTCCACCAGGCCCTGCTCAAAGATTTACTTTTTAAATTATGCGCATGTGGGGGAGGGGTGGGTGCACATAGTGTAAGTGCTAAGGAGGCCAGACAGGGTCTTGGATCCCCTGAACCTCTGTGACTTGGCATCCCTACCCCCACACCCCTATATGATATGGGTGCTAGGAACCGACCTTCAGTCCTCTGCAAGAGAAACAACCATGCCATAACTGAGCCTTCTCTCCAGCCCAGATTTGGGGTTTTGAAGCGATGAACTAGATGACAGCGCCAAATCCAATTATCTCTGAACTCTCCCTTCCCATCCCCATTCCTGAGCCTTGGGGAGGAGGTCACTCCTCTGTGGTCCCCATCAAGGAGGCAACATCAAGATCTCTCTGAAACCCTCTAAGGTGGAGTCCCAGACATCATCCAAATCAAGCAGCTATTGTGCTGAATCATCGCGCAGCAGGATGAGCCCCTTCCCCTTTCCTGGTCCTTCGGGGACCTTTGAGGACTCGGGTGGGGTAGCATCTCTCTCATAACCGCTGCCCCACCCTTGAAAGATACCGCTCTAGCTCTGGGGACAATCTCAACTGGACTCCAGAGCCAGGGTCCACCTTCTTCAGACTCCCACAATCTTACCAAGAACACCCAGTGTTTCTCGATCAGTGGTCTCCATGGCAACCGACAGGGTGTCAGAGACACAAATGATGGGGATTCCAGAGTAGGGGTTGCGGGGCACGCCCCTCTCCAGTCCCTGAACACACATCCACCTCCAACGGACAGACCCTCTTCCCTCCCACAGGGTTGAGATCTCCACACACACACATCCCCTCCCAAAATCGGGTTTCTTCCAGAGGTCTCCTGGGTCTCAGCAGCCTCCCAGAGGTCACCAGAGGGATGGTGTTGGTTTTTCATGGCGGGGAGGGGGGCAGTGATGAAAAGCTGGGGCACAGGATGCACTTGACCCCCTCCCTGGGACCAAAAGGGACCCGGCGTGCAGCGCGGGCGGCGGGAGCCGTCCCGGGGGCGGGCGGTCTCCTAAGTCCCACCTTCGGGGCGGCGCCTGTCGGCGGGGAGTGTCAGGAAGAGGAAGAGCGCGGCCGGGTGTGCGGTGCAGAGCAAGGGCCCGGCCGAAGCAGCTGCGCGCGCGCGGGCCACCATGGCCACGGACGAGCTGGCCAGCAAGCTGAGCCGGAGGCTGCAGATGGAGGACGAAGGCGGCGAAGCGACCGAGCAGCCGGGGCTCAACGGAGCGGCGGCGGCGGCGGCCGGGGCTCCCGATGAGGCTACCCAGGCGTTGGGCAGCGCGGACGACGAGCTGAGCGCCAAGCTGCTGCGGCGCGCGGACCTCAACCAGGGCATCGGCGAGCCGCAGTCGCCCAGCCGCCGCGTCTTCAACCCCTACACGGAGTTCAAGGAGTTCTCCAGGAAGCAGATCAAAGACATGGAGAAGATGTTCAAACAGTGAGTACCCTCGCACCCCGTTCCCCACCACCCTAGACCCGGCCTCAGGCCCGAACCGCCAGTAACCCTGGCCAGGTTCCCCCAGGACCCTGACTCACCAGGGCGGAGAACTCTGCTGTCCCTTCCAAAGGGCCACGAGGCTTCCAGACCCACCACCCCAGTGCAAGTGGGTTTGGGGATCTCCCCCTCCTGGCTGTGGCATGTGACCCCCACCCTCCTGAGGGTACTGCCCTCAAAATACCCCACATAGGTTGGAAGCACCTGAGGTTCCATGAATACAATTACAGGTCCCCAGCAAGTCCCCACCACCACACAGGGTCCCGATTTCCCTCACTGTTAATGTTACTGCACCTACCACCCTACACCCACACACACCTTCCTCTCCTGTCCCAACTCCTGGACTCCCTACCCCCACCGCAGTAAGGCACCCCTAGTGCCTCTCAAGGGGAGGGGACATTCCCAGCACCCGCGCGGCATATATATATATATGTCTTTAATTTCTTCTGCTTAGCTCTGGTCCCTTTAGTTTTGGGACACACACACACACACACACACACACACACACACACACACACACACACACACCAATTATTCTATGGTAAAAACCCTTCAGCGCTTTCCACCCCTCCCACCCACCCTGCTGGCCAGGTCCCATTTCCCTAACACTCAAGTGGTCTTGCTAGGAAAGGGCTTCTTTCTCCCTGTCCCCTAGTCGACAAACATGTAACTCCCCTATCATCCCTTCAGGGCAGAGTCCCCTTGGGCCTTAGATTTCCTCCCTACCCTGTTGGTGCGCGTCCCTGCTCCTCCTACCCTTCACTCAGCTGCTGTGCAATGGTGACTCCCCTGCTGCCTATCAGAAGGCTGCCCCCTCCCCAGCAACAGCCCCCCTGCTCCCATATAGTCCCTGCGGGACCCATACTCTCTCTGGGCAGAAAAAAGAGGTCCCTTGCTATGTGTCCTTCCCAGGGACTCCCTAGGCTCCGGTTCCTATGAACCCATGCTGTACCCTTACCAGGTTAGAGGGGTGTGCGTGCTCAGCTATTCCACGCTCCACGAAATCGTGCAGTATGGAGGGGGAGGAAGAGACTACCCATGGGGATAGGGATGGTGCCAATGCCCCTCCATATGACAGTCATCCCTACTTCCTGTCACACCACCTATGGTTCCTGGGAAGGGAACAGTCGGACCTATAGGTACTGGGCTGGAGTGCGTCCTCAGATGGGGCAAAACCCAGTAACCCTGAGTTCAGGGTGAGGTGTGCAGGGAGCCCCAACGCGGAAAAGAGTGGCAGGTAAAGGATTGGCAGCCCCAGCCACACCCAGCTGACAGTGCCCAGACACCAACCAGGAGCCAGGAAAGGGGCGTTCCCTCCATCCAAGGCTAAGAAAGGCTCTTCCCGCTTCTCCACACCCACAGCTGGTCCTCACACAGGAAGAGGGTTTGCTTCCCAGCCTTGGGTGACTGGAAACCCCGTCCTGTAGTGCCACCCTCAGACCTCTACATGAAGGTTAAAGGGCTGGAGGACACCCCTGCTTCGGTCTCTTATTGGATGATCAGGCCAGGAGAGCAGGAATCCACATTCCTTGCTTTTGAACCCTCCGGCAACTGTGACTTCCAGGTAGAGCTGCCCTGTGGGGTAGTCCAGAGGGTGTTCACACCCGTCATAGATCCCTGAAGTGACAGGGTTGAGAAGGAGCTCAGCCGTGCCTCCTACCAACCCCATGACCCAGGATGGTTTCATCTCTCTTGCCCAGATAGAGTCCAGCCACAGACCACTAAAGTTACGTGCCAAGACGCCACAGCTACAAAATGGTAGGATCAGGATTTGAACTCAGATCGGTAGCTCCAAAAGCCATGGTCTTCCCTTCTCAACACACCGCCTGCCTCTCTTGCACTTGGGTAGACTGAGGTCTGGGTATGACACCTCCTAGCTGTGGCTGCCAAAGACAAGCCAGCTCCCCTTCCCAGGGGCACCCCAGAGGCACTGGCTCCCCTCCTCCTTGCCCCCCACCCCCCTGTGCCATGGTCTTCCCTTAAGCGTTCTCTATCGTAGATACCCGTGTCGCTGTAACGAAACATACCCCAGCGCCCCTTTCTCTGTGTGTGGCTGACTCTCTCCTGTGCGGCCACCACCGGCCCATTTTACCCTTCTCAGGACACCCCTCTCATGTGTGTCTGTGGTATTATCCCCCAAACCATGGCAGTGTTTTCGGGAACCCAGATACCCCCTAAAGAGCAAGCTTGGGGGAGATAATTTTGGTGGGGGAACCGGTGGGGAGAATGGCCTGGAAGCTGTGCTTCCAAAGAGCCCGAGCTGTTTTGGGGGACCAAGTTCGATGGAGAAGTAACTTTTGTGGACCCCTCACAGCCACCTCTTGCCACTAGTGCTGCTTGCTGTGGTGTTGGGAGGGGTGTCGGGGCAGGAAGGGGCCAGAAAGCTGGACCTCAGCGGAAGGAAGTGCCACTCGCCAGAGGCCCTGGCCGGGGTACAAAGCTGCTAATGTTGTTTTCAGGGAAACAAGGCCTCACTGTGCCCGATGAGCCCAGCCCAGCTGAATCCCGGCTGGGAACCTCCACAGACGGCCACTGGGAGCACAAAACACTTGTCTGCTTCCACTGTGCAAGTGGCTGCTGCCTCCTGGGGCCCAGCAGGTCCCAGGATTGCAGCCAGGACTCTGTTGAGAGCAGGGGGCAGGGGGAAGAGGAACCAGTGCCCCTGGGAAGGGGAGCGTTTTGGCAGCCACAGCTAAGGAGGCGTCGGCCCTGGACCTCAGTGCGAGAGGGGTAGGTGGTGTGTGATGCTTCTCAAAGATACTTATGTTCTAGCCTTACTTCTATGGGGTCTGGAGCCTTGATAGTCATCAGAGCAACTGTGCCGTCTTCTGGTCCATCCATCCCCTGCGGACAAGCAGATGGGGCCCCAGGACAATGGTGGAGGGAAAAAGGGAAGAGACAGCAAGCTCTGCCATCCACCCCACTGCCAGCTGACTGCAGCCCCGCTCCCTGTTTTACAGACGGGAAAACTAAGAAGGGAAAAGTGACCTGCTCAGGATCATGGGTTTTTCTGAAGGTAGGGCTTAGAGAAGACGCATGCTGCCCAGCATAGAGGCCCTGCCTCTTAGAACCTGTGGCCCCCACCTCTCTCTCTCTCTCTCTCTCTCTCTCTCTCTCTCTCTCTCTCTCTCTCTCTCTCTCTCTCTCTCTCTCTCTCTCTCTCTCCCTCCCACACCTCCTTCCCTCTCTCTACCCACTCATTCACTCATTCAGAGTTGTTTCTAGAAGCTTTCAAGGCAAAAAGGTATGGGACAAACCCACAGAATTTCAGGGATGGCTACCCTTGGGCTGACAACAGCCTAGGAAGAGCTCTGGAGGGTTCTCTGTAAGCCAACACCTGCCCGAGAGGCAGGCAGCCTCGAAATTGTGACTGTGCTGTGGAATCTGAGGAAGGCGCCCTAGTTCCTTGTCCTGCCCGGCCTCCTCCCCACCCTCCTCCATCTCGTGACCTCTTGCATCAGGCAGGCTGACTTCCCCTTCCTTCTGGCTGGAGATTTTCATCACAAGCTCCCTGGGCCACCTGCCTTCTCTCTCTTCCCTTCCTGGTTGACAGCCTGCAGCTCCCGGTGGCTGCCGGTGTAGACACATGTGCACCTAGAGCCTTAACCCTTCCCAAGCCTCTTTTCTCACCCTGAGGGTGCTCTCCGGTGCCCAGCCACGTACTTGGCACAGAAGTGGCATTTACTAAGTGACTGTCATCACATTCCCAAGTCCAGCATATGCCCTGGCCCTGGTGGCGGTCATCGGCTCTAACATTGAGGCAGCTCGAAATGAGCCTCTGGCTGCCTCCACTTCCCCCCAACAGAGCCACCAGGCTGCTAGGCTGGCAGCTGTCCTTTGCTTCCGGCCAGAATGACAGGGATTCAGCCCATAAGCCTCTTTGCTCTTGCCCAACAGAAACTCTGATTGACAGCTACATATTGCTTTGACAAACAACAAAAATAGAGAAATGAATTCATTATCACTTAATTACGTGGAAGGCAGGTGGCAGAAGACAAGGGAAGAGCAAAACTGGGACACGGGCCCTTGCCACCCAGCTGGGTCGCCCTGGGCAGGGTACTGGGCTTCTGGGCCTCAGTTTCTCTGAAGCCGTAGGACCTAGCTGGCAAAACACTAAGAATTGAGTATGGTAAACCAGAACCAGCACAGATATGGTCTGGGGACTGTTAAGGTTATGGATGGTCTTAGAAGACATGCTAAATGTTTGCATATGCAAATTCCAGCCAGAAGGCCTTATAGAACATTCCAGTCTACCGGAGGTCTTGTGTGGGTCCAAAGGGCTGGTAATGGAGGTCTTCTATAGTTCTGCCATCTGGAGAGACTGCAGCCTCCGATGGGTGGTGTCCCAGGGCCCTGGCCTTACTAGAGAGTCCCAAGGGAACTCACCTGTATTACTTGGGGTCAGTTTAGACCTCAGGCCTCAAAGGTTGAGTTACTTGGCCAAGGTCCTGAGCCCATATCCAGAAGGCTGGAGGGGTGGGGGTGGGGGTCTGGCTCTCGTTTGCAGAAGCCAGAGCCTAGCTTGGTGGGGGTTGGGGTGCCTCACACCCCAGGGAGAGAGGATTCCCGACCACGCCCCCTTCTCCTTTCCTCCCACTTCCCCTCAGCATCTGAGTCATCACCTCCCCCCACCCCTGCTGGGGACTTTCCGGATTACACCTCCCGTCTGTCCCCTTCCCTTCTTCACACTCATCTCTGTCGCCTGAGGTCCGGCCCCGCCTTCATCTGGAACGGTCCAAGCTCTGGGGTCATCCGTGCTGCCAGGGGCAGGTTGGAAGCCGGCCCTGCAAGGCCAGCCCGGCCACTCTGCAGCCTCTTGCAAGGACAGTCCCCACACCCTGCAGCCACCAAGTTCCCTCTGGCTACCCAGCAGCCTTCTTGATGGACTTCTGCTTTGCAGGAACAGTGGCTGCAGGGACAGGCAGGTGTGCCTAGCTGAGACC